ATATGAATTCTAGTTTAAATAAATTAATAAGAATTGTTTTATCTCATTAGCAAATTAGATTTTAATTATACCTATATATTAGCTCCAGACATCATTAACATGATAAGCCGTCAGTACTCAGTCGTACAGTGTACTAACTACTTGCAGACTTATTACCAGCATAAGTTAGTGTGCTATTAAATCCATAATGTTTAAAAGTTATTTACAAACGGTTATTCTGTCTCAGTTGTTTAGTCGGTCACACTCACACAGTCACACAGCGCCTGCAGCTAAACGTGCTAATAAACATTCTCATATTAGCGAAGCACCAAGGATACTTCACCGAGTTGTGTCAATTATGCGCGCTGGCCGTGGTGTCTGTTCTAATTAGACATTTAGGAACAAACTCGTTCACCTCATAACACAGTTTATTCATTGAAGCCCTCCAGCGGAGTTTAAAATGTTGTCAACGAACTTGTGACTACCTTCATGTCACAAACGTATGCCAATGCAAAGGACGACTTCAATAAGCTTTATAGCTCATTTAGCTTTCCAAACAGGCGTACTCCTTAAAGGGCTGAGCTGGGGTAGGTCGCGCAGCTCGGAGCAGATTAGCGATACAATGTGCACCAAATTAGATCAAGCAATTTTATTTCCTATTTAGTCTCTTGCCCAAATACCTACTCCAGTTTGAGTCACCATCGCTCTAATCTGTCTATGTGTCAAGTTATATTTTCATTGGGGAAGTAGCCTCAGAACATGCACAGTGCACTACCCAGCGTGGGCCTCGAAGTTCACCAAGGCTCATTGGAGCACTAAAAGATTATCACCTAAAACTTGGATACTCGTAAAGAGGGACTATAAAAAATAGACGAATAGATCGGACATTTCCTCTGGTAGAACAGTCCTTTTGGAAATAGATACATAGGTACATATATTATCCAAAATTCTTAATCGCAAAAGTTGTCAGTGTAATTGCGAGCGACAGAAGATTACGAAGACACTTTATTAGAAATAACGACTTAGGTACGTGAATTTACTGAGGAAAGCTCCACTTATTTTAAGTTAAAATGGAACTCTTATTAATTTGCAGCTCACGCGTCGCGACGTCGCCAGTCGGCTGCGCGTAATATATCTCACGAACTACACAAAAATTTGAATGCAGTTCTTCCCGTTAGTGGATAATGTGCATTTTACATTTCTCCGGCTGCAATAAATGCTAAGCGTGCCCGCCGAACAAAGTAGTAACCTTAACATTCCTTGGGACTGTGCATGGTAGCGATTTCGGGGCCGCGTGACCGAGTTAGTGGCTAAGTGACAACATGCGTCTCCCATGTAACCGGAGCAAGCGGTGGAGCATACGATCCGGCAACACCGCCGGTCACCGGACACCGTGCCGCTCCACCGGGCACGCGCCTGACGCAGTCGTCGAACCGAATAGTCCCTGCGCCCATATTCATTACATCGTTTGACATTTAAATGTAGTTGCCACTTCTGCACCTAGTGCTCCAATAAGCAAAATTATTATACATTTATTTTTACCTTGAAGAATAGGTTTCATATGATTTGAAACTTAGGGTTTGTACTGAGGCAGACGCAAAGATTTAATAAAATATCTACGCTCAAGGTACTGTAAATTGATGTTGGTGTAGTTTTATTTTTCTAAAAAATAAAACAAAAACTTCTGCACAGAACAACCATTTGTTTCATCTACAAATTGTTGTTTTGGCTCTGATGTATGTTTATAAGAGACTAATAGCTTCTCTCGCGCGGTTTCACCCGCTGCTCGGCTCCATTTAATCGTAGCGTGATATTTTATAGCCTACAGCACTCAGGAATATTGAAGCTACCTATCAGTGAAAGAATTTTTGAAATTCGACCAGCTTTTCCAAATATTACCCCTCACACACAAACTTACAAACAAACAATCTTACAAATTTTACCTCTTTATAATATTAGTATTCTATTTCGCTTGCTTCTTGCATTTACTACGGATTCTCTGCATCACCCAAAGGTCGACTGGTAGAGAATGCTCAATGCATAAGTCCGCCTTATGTACATTCTAAATTGTGCATGAAGTATAAATAAATAAAAAATTAGTATAGAAAATCCTAGGGATATATTTTTAACTACTCAATTCAACATTTGTTAGAAAGGGTTGAAAATAGCAAGAAGCGGGACTACCTTGCAGAAACTAAATCTCTACTCTATTTAATGGATGTTATTATATAAAACCTCCTTGTTAATTACTCTATCTACTAAAAAAGAACATTAAAATCTGTTGCATACTTTTAAAGCAAAATAGGGATATAGGGACAGAGTTTTTCTATGTTATGATGCATATGTATTTTTTTATTTATTTGAGAAACAAACAGGTACATTGCATTAAACAAAACAAACAATTTAAAACAAACACCATCCAAAACAGTTTCCATGTATCTATTTAAGTAAATATAGTAATTAAAAGATTTTTTTAACAAGTGTATAAATACGGAGAGGACCTACTTACACCATGAAAACAGCACAGTAACAAAGTTTTTCAGCTTCAATGACAGACTTTTTTGTTAGTAAACCTTTGTTGAAAGGTAAACAACATGCCATGATGATGTCTAAGATCCTAATTACTAGCGCACAATGCTACCAGAGATTTCATTTTGGCAGTGATCATTGGTTATATTCTTGGTGGTTTAATTGGTGTTATTATGTTAGTCTTACTATGTCTGTAATGGCTTATTATATGACTATCTACTTCAGCAGTGTTAGCACCCTGAATAGATACCTAATGAGATATTTTTTACCAAATAAATTAAGTCAACATTGTAGAAGGTTACAAAGACTTCACATGTTATTAATATTAAACATGGACCAATCTGATATGTGCATGAGTGAAAATAGTAAACAAATCATTTGTTTCATGACTATGAGTGCTTATCTGGGATCACAAAGTGCCATACTTTGAAGAACATTATACCTTAACACATGGACAGTAATTAATGTGCACACACAAATAGCTGTGCACAAGTTAGCAGAATACACAGTTAAGAAAACATTAAATTTCATATCATTATTTCAATAAATTATTTCCAATTCAAATGAAAATTATTGTTATAGTTTTATCTGAAATAATCACCAGTGCAGTGACAATGGAATATGATTAAGCAGGAATTCTTATTGTATTCTACAGCACTTCCTATACAATATAAATATTTTCTCTTATTAATAACTAGACAACAAGCAATTGTTACAATAGTGAATACGAAGCAGTGGTGCCAGGCCACTGACATGTACCTGCCTGACTTAAGCTATGTGAAACTTGGCTGTCAATGTTACACAGAACAGCTAACAAGTTTTTGCAATAAAAAAAGATCGAAATAATTGGTCAGCGGTCGGCGGTCGGCAATAGGCAGTCGGTACTTTGAGGTGGTGGAATACAAGGACACGGCGATAGACCTACGAGTGATGACCACTTGTCCAGCCTCCGAAAATGAGCGCTATACAGCATCGCGTCCGTATCCACGCTAATGTAGTCACCACTCACTATTTCCAATAAAAAAAAATGTTTCCGCACAAAAAAGTACCAACTTGATCCAATTAGGCAACCGGTGGATCTCACGACGTCTCGGCTTTTCCTATTTGCGCATTACCTACCGATATACATTAGAGATTTGATACAAAAGAAATGTGTTGTGTGTACAGCAGGTTATTGCGGCATAAGCAATAATTTTAATACGATACAAGAAAGCAATAATGTAACCTAACAGTCGAAACAGGCGACGCATGAGAAAAATCAATAAGTTCACCAATAAACAAGGAGCTGCCAAAGTATTATTATTCCAATTAGACAGCGATGAAACAAGAAGTTTCCAACAAGACTGTGTTTTAATTTTCAGGTCTTTCATACAATTCCAAGTAAAGGAAACATAAGCAAAATCATTAAATCGCCGGCGTACTTACCCATTTGGTTGAACTGGTATGTTCCGCGGAGACAATGTCGATTAGATAAATTATTTGAGTAACATTATCACAATTGCACTTAATATGATACAAACACAGATTATTTGCATAAACAGGTTAAAACTTATAAAATAATTGTCAATAAATAATATTATAAAACTTTTCTGGGCTGGTCTCGAGCTACGCTCCCACTGCCTGTCTATGTGACGGTATAATCGTGTACATGACAGAAAGCAATCACGTTCAGGAATTCACAATAACCAAACGTTGGTTGATTCGTTCTGAAATACATGCTTTTTTCTTCAAATTATTGTTATAATAAAAAAATCATTATGCGGTAAGTATGGCAACGTTTTCAATTTTGTAACCCTTCACTTTTAGGTTTTTTTGAGGGCGTAAAAGCAAAATAATCAAGTCACATCCTGAGTGGGACGAAAGGAAGTATCAGACTCAGACTGTATGTGGTTACTAACTAAAGCCACCCCGTAACCTCTCCTGCTTTGGGCCGGATAGCGGTACATTACAACGCTTGCATTCTCAGACCCGGCGTAGGTCTGACGGCTCATCGAGGCGCGCGTGAATCGAGCCATCGTCATCGTCATTGTCGCGCAATACTTCAGGTATTGGTATTGCCCGGAGTGTCTAGCGGCCTGAAGAGGGTAGTTCCCTTACGCGGTCCATCCCCTTCCTTGCCAGCATTTACAGTTAGAAAAACCTTGTGGTAGAATCGATAAACTTGTCGACATTAAAATTTAAAATAATGGTGCCTTCCGTTCTCTACAACAACAGGTACCTATAATACATTTTTGTCAAAATTCAAAACTGTTGTTCTGACAAGTCTTATATTTTATTATTGTTGTTTTTTTTATATTAACACATTAAAACAAAGTAAAAGTATAAAACTCTCAACTTCCAAAAATATTTTCTACCATCTTTGCTTCGTACCAGGGCTCCTAGCTCGATGGATTGGGTTAGTGCTGCTGCTGCAGTTTCGTACAGTTTTGTTGGAATAGAAACACAAGAAAGAAACATATTGAACAGATTCATAAAATAAGTGCTTTATTGATTAAAAAATATTAGGTAGGTATAGGTACACAATTTGACAATATCGTAACGTGACTGTTAACTAAATTAGCTCAAGTACCTAGTTGCCGAGACAAGTACCGTCAACTTATTTACAGATTTTGAACAAAATTATGAATTAGATCAAATAGTCTTATTAGTTGCAAGCTTTTATACATAGCACGTACTTAATTGTGTTATTACAATTTACTCGAACAGAGCCGAGCGTTGGCAAGTGGCTCCCTCCCCAATACAATAAATTGTGCTGCCATGTGGTGTCCCCCATAGTACGGTGGTACTATGGCTATAAAGAACTACAATTGTATTTCACTATTAAATTATAAAGTCATTCAACACTCGGTCACAGAGCTCGCTGGACTCAATTTCCCGACCCTGAACCGACAAGCCAGACCAATAATATCGTATGCACTAAGCAAATAAACTATACATCTATTTTAATATTACGTTTAAACCAATTTCTTTTATTTACAACCGAGATACTATCAGTAATATATAAATATTAGAACCTTATACTCTCTGTACAATGTCGATAATTTAATAGACTCTTCATTTATTTTATTCGTATTTTTTGTCTCGAGTGACATGTTTCGAGTTTTTACATCGTTGTGGAAAACATTTCAGCGAACGACCGACGACACCCGCCCGTTCAATGATTTCGCATCACAACAAGGAATATACACAAGCTTGCTAATATCAAATTCAAATACAAAAAATCCTTCTCGAAACTCAATCACTATATATTTTGCAAGTCGAACAGTAAACGTAATAACGTAACGTTTAGATTTTCATTTCAATGCTGATGGAAAGTTAAGAACACTAAATAAATACTACTTACGACTAAGTGTATAGATTCGAAGCTTCCAGAACATATTGTTGCGTAGTGTTGTTAACGTTCCATCGGCGCGTCCCCCGGGGCCGGCTGCTAAACATTGCTACAAGTATTGCACGCGTCGGCGCAAATGCTACATAAACGTTTTGTAACAATTCCAATTCCGACAAACTTCCAGGTTCAGTTTTAACAACGAGAAGGTAACGTTATGGCGACTCTGTATATAATATTACTTTGCGTAATTTATAAATACAATAACAAGATCTAGAGCGGAATTAATAAAGAAAATGACGAATCACTACAAAAATATATCACTGCAATTGAATAGGTGCTACTAAATAGTAAATTGAAAGAGGAGCGTGGCGGCGCCGAGAGCGGGGTGTCCGCGCGCGGCCGCTACTCGTCGTCCGTGTCCGCGTCCGCGTCGACGTCCGCGTCGGCGTCCGCGTCGAGGCAGAAGGCGGGCGGCGCCTGCAGCCGCGGCGGCGCCGGCCCGCGCGTCTGCTGCCTGCAACCGGGATAGTACGCCATTCAAATGGTACACGAACGCAACTTCAATTTTGGGTGCGCAACCGTTAAACAGAAACTCAACCCCAATTTGTGGTGTTGCCACTATGGTCCACGGTCGACATTAATTTTTAAAAAACGGGCATATACATTTTTTATTTGCAACCCTAACCTATACCTTAGATTTCAGCATTTACCAAACATGTAGGTTGGGGATTTTTTATCTCATTCATTTAAATTGGTGTCAACGCTTCGAAGTTTACCTGGTCCATCTCGATCATGAGGATCCGATCCAAGCAATTTTTTTAAGGGTGTTTTATTATATTGTAAACCAGCTACTCCCGCGCGGTTTTTCTCGCTGCTGGGTTCGATTTGATTGTAACAATGTTTTAATAGCCTGTAGCACTCGGGAACGAACATTGTAGCTATCAATAAGTGAAAGAATTTTGGGAATCCGACGAGTGGCTCTGTCTAAATTGTCTTAATAGATTAGCATTGAATGTTATACATGAACGATTGAGTAGTAATAGCTATCTATACTTGTGAATACAGTCCACTATGAACCCCACTCCCCAGTTGCAAATAAACCGGCATACAAATCACACGTTGTTTCATTAAAAAATATTAGCAAACTAATATCAACCTTCTGTCAATAAACAGGTTCCAACATACAAACTTTCAAACAACTTACAAACTTACAATTACCTCTTTACAATATTAGTATAGATTTTTTTTTTAGTTTAAAAATAGTGTGGGATGTGGGTCGCAAGGAGTTAGCTACGTACGCGAGACGGCGGTAGTGGTTGAGCCACTCCTCCAGCAGCTGCGCCTGCAGCAGCGGGCGCGGCGGCAGCGCCTGGCGCTGTTATAGTGTGGGATGTGGGTCGCAAGGAGTTAGCTACGTACGCGAGACGGCGGTAGTGGTTGAGCCACTCCTCCAGCAGCTGCGCCTGCAGCAGCGGGCGCGGCGGCAGCGCCTGGCGCTGTTATAGTGTGGGATGTGGGTCGCAAGGAGTTAGCTACGTACGCGAGACGGCGGTAGTGGTTGAGCCACTCCTCCAGCAGCTGCGCCTGCAGCAGCGGGCGCGGCGGCAGCGCCTGGCGCTGTTATAGTGTGGGATGTGGGTCGCAAGGAGTTAGCTACGTACGCGAGACGGCGGTAGTGGTTGAGCCACTCCTCCAGCAGCTGCGCCTGCAGCAGCGGGCGCGGCGGCAGCGCCTGGCGCTGTTATAGTGTGGAATGTGGGTCGCAAGGAGTTAGCTACGTACGCGAGACGGCGGTAGTGGTTGAGCCACTCCTCCAGCAGCTGCGCCTGCAGCAGCGGGCGCGGCGGCAGCGCCTGGCGCTGTTATAGTGTGGGATGTGGGTCGCAAGGAGTTAGCTACGTACGCGAGACGGCGGTAGTGGTTGAGCCACTCCTCCAGCAGCTGCGCCTGCAGCAGCGGGCGCGGCGGCAGCGCCTGGCGCTGTTATAGTGTGGGATGTGGGTCGCAAGGAGTTAGCTACGTACGCGAGACGGCGGTAGTGGTTGAGCCACTCCTCCAGCAGCTGCGCCTGCAGCAGCGGGCGCGGCGGCAGCGCCTGGCGCTGTTATAGTGTGGGATGTGGGTCGCAAGGAGTTAGCTACGTACGCGAGACGGCGGTAGTGGTTGAGCCACTCCTCCAGCAGCTGCGCCTGCAGCAGCGGGCGCGGCGGCAGCGCCTGGCGCTGTTATAGTGTGGGATGTGGGTCGCAAGGAGTTAGCTACGTACGCGAGACGGCGGTAGTGGTTGAGCCACTCCTCCAGCAGCTGCGCCTGCAGCAGCGGGCGCGGCGGCAGCGCCTGGCGCTGTTATAGTGTGGGATGTGGGTCGCAAGGAGTTAGCTACGTACGCGAGACGGCGGTAGTGGTTGAGCCACTCCTCCAGCAGCTGCGCCTGCAGCAGCGGGCGCGGCGGCAGCGCCTGGCGCTGTTATAGTGTGGGATGTGGGTCGCAAGGAGTTAGCTACGTACGCGAGACGGCGGTAGTGGTTGAGCCACTCCTCCAGCAGCTGCGCCTGCAGCAGCGGGCGCGGCGGCAGCGCCTGGCGCTGTTATAGTGTGGGATGTGGGTCGCAAGGAGTTAGCTACGTACGCGAGACGGCGGTAGTGGTTGAGCCACTCCTCCAGCAGCTGCGCCTGCAGCAGCGGGCGCGGCGGCAGCGCCTGGCGCTGTTATAGTGTGGGATGTGGGTCGCAAGGAGTTAGCTACGTACGCGAGACGGCGGTAGTGGTTGAGCCACTCCTCCAGCAGCTGCGCCTGCAGCAGCGGGCGCGGCGGCAGCGCCTGGCGCTGTTATAGTGTGGGATGTGGGTCGCAAGGAGTTAGCTACGTACGCGAGACGGCGGTAGTGGTTGAGCCACTCCTCCAGCAGCTGCGCCTGCAGCAGCGGGCGCGGCGGCAGCGCCTGGCGCTGTTATAGTGTGGGATGTGGGTCGCAAGGAGTTAGCTACGTACGCGAGACGGCGGTAGTGGTTGAGCCACTCCTCCAGCAGCTGCGCCTGCAGCAGCGGGCGCGGCGGCAGCGCCTGGCGCTGTTATAGTGTGGGATGTGGGTCGCAAGGAGTTAGCTACGTACGCGAGACGGCGGTAGTGGTTGAGCCACTCCTCCAGCAGCTGCGCCTGCAGCAGCGGGCGCGGCGGCAGCGCCTGGCGCTGTTATAGTGTGGGATGTGGGTCGCAAGGAGTTAGCTACGTACGCGAGACGGCGGTAGTGGTTGAGCCACTCCTCCAGCAGCTGCGCCTGCAGCAGCGGGCGCGGCGGCAGCGCCTGGCGCTGTTATAGTGTGGGATGTGGGTCGCAAGGAGTTAGCTACGTACGCGAGACGGCGGTAGTGGTTGAGCCACTCCTCCAGCAGCTGCGCCTGCAGCAGCGGGCGCGGCGGCAGCGCCTGGCGCTGTTATAGTGTGGGATGTGGGTCGCAAGGAGTTAGCTACGTACGCGAGACGGCGGTAGTGGTTGAGCCACTCCTCCAGCAGCTGCGCCTGCAGCAGCGGGCGCGGCGGCAGCGCCTGGCGCTGTTATAGTGTGGGATGTGGGTCGCAAGGAGTTAGCTACGTACGCGAGACGGCGGTAGTGGTTGAGCCACTCCTCCAGCAGCTGCGCCTGCAGCAGCGGGCGCGGCGGCAGCGCCTGGCGCTGTTATAGTGTGGGATGTGGGTCGCAAGGAGTTAGCTACGTACGCGAGACGGCGGTAGTGGTTGAGCCACTCCTCCAGCAGCTGCGCCTGCAGCAGCGGGCGCGGCGGCAGCGCCTGGCGCTGTTATAGTGTGGGATGTGGGTCGCAAGGAGTTAGCTACGTACGCGAGACGGCGGTAGTGGTTGAGCCACTCCTCCAGCAGCTGCGCCTGCAGCAGCGGGCGCGGCGGCAGCGCCTGGCGCTGTTATAGTGTGGGATGTGGGTCGCAAGGAGTTAGCTACGTACGCGAGACGGCGGTAGTGGTTGAGCCACTCCTCCAGCAGCTGCGCCTGCAGCAGCGGACGCGGCGGCAGCGCCTGTCGCGCGGCGAGCACTCCGCGCCACTCGCCGGCACACACCCAGCGCCGCACCACGCGCTCCGCCTCGCGCGCCTGCATACACAGCGGGATATCTACGCTTAGTCAATTAATCATTTTACAGCTTTACTTTGAAGAAAATTATAATAAAAGTGCTTAAAAATATCTAATAGTCCTCGTTTTTGTTGATGTCATTGGTCATGTCACATGTGGCCCGTTTTGTAGCGCGATGTGCTGCTTCACCAGCGTTGAGCCTCGAGCTCGCCCTTCATCGCGCTACAGATGTAATGCCGCGAGTACTTTCGCCTCTAGCTCCCAAGGCGATGATCCGACCAGGACGCCGGCCGCCTCGTAGGAAATCGTGCGATACCAGCAGACGACTTTACCCGCCATCACCCTCTGCGGTTTGCGCAAAATGGCAAAAGTGGTGGCGTGGCCGTCACCGAAAGTGAAGTTAAAAGAGCGCCCGCTGCGTCCATCAATTTGGGCGCCAGCCGCCGTAATTTGGTTACGAATTCCCAACGGGTGTCGAGCACTAATTCCACATAGTGGACACGACTGCTATCCGATCCCAGCTGACCACGATGTGTGATATAGTAGTGATGGCTACGAAACACGGTGACCTCCGAATTGTTTAGGGCCAACCCACCTTTAGGCCCAGGCTCTGGATGCAATTCACCACCTGTGTCCGCATAACACGTCAAGTCGGCGCCCAACGTGAGCTCGCCTCTCAGCACCCAATCGTAGACGATGTTCAACAGGAGCGGCCCCAAGGCTGAACCTTGCAGAACACCGCACGACATGAGATGCCGACAGACACCGTCACGTCCCCCATAGGTGACGCATCTGCCCTGCCCTCCAGATAAGCCCCTACCATACGGCGGAGGTAGGGGGAATTACAACTCCAGGGTAGGGTGTTGGATATGTTAAAAGAGATCGCCAACAGCCAGCATCACCAGGCCCCGGGACACGATCTCTTCCGCCAGGGCCTTTGCCGCGTTGAGTGCATCCGACGGAAGCAAAATTGGCTGCCGGCCAGGTACAAGTGGCTAGCAAGGTTATAAGTTTGCCCGCCTCGTCGAAAAGCAAAATGTGTCGATACGCGATATCTCGCCTATGCAACATTCCAATTTCTTTCGATGATGGTGATTCTTCCTACGATGTTTTTTTTTTTGTGAGGGGAAAATCATCAAATGACTTCTCCCGCCCAGGGCCGGACGGGGGGGAGTGTCAGACTCTTACTGACTAAAAACCCCCCCTGTTCCTTCTCATGCTCTGTGCCGAGGTCGCGGTGCCCCATTGCGCTTACCCCGCAGTTTCAGTCAGGTCTGTGGTGGTCTACTGGCTCTTTGAGGCGCGCGCGGAACGCTTCGCGCCGTACGCTCGGGCCTGGTTCTGGTCGGGCGGCGAGCTGCCCTTACTCGCCGACCGCAGGCCCGTGCTTACGGTGGCCGGAGATCGTCCCTTGATCCCCGACGCCCGTAGTGTCGCCAGTTGCGGCTGCTGGGGCTCTCACTCCGCACCATGGCCTCGACTAAGACCGGGCGCGAGAGGTCCCCGCCGCCGATCACTTCCCTGAGGATACGGCGGTGCTCAGCCCAAGCCATACCGCTACCGTATGCCCACCGTATCCTCTAGGTGGTCCTCACAATGACGACACTCGGGCGTTTCCTCCCGCTGGATCCGAAACAGGAACCTACCGAAGCTGCCGTGCCCGGTAAGCACCTGCGTCAGACGGAAGGTGAGGACGCCGTGGCGTCTCTCAAGCCACTCCTCAAAGAGGGGTCTTACCGCTACTATGGTAGCGTGCCCGGCCCTCGGTTGCGACATTCGCTGCTTCCACTCAGCCATGAGATCTCGCCGGAGCTCATTCCGCCACGCACTAATTTGTCGCGACAGAGGATCCTCGCCCCGGCGACGCGCGTCTGCGCGCAAACTGTAGACGCGCGCGAGCGCCTTGGCTTCCAGATCCCACGGCGGTGATCCGGCAAGGAGGTTTGCCGCCTCCCCGGAGATCGTGCAATATATCCGCGGATTATTCGGATAGCCATGACCCTCTGGGACGTGACCAGCGTACGAGCCGGCCGCCGCTTCAAGTCCGGCGCCCACACAGGGGCACCGTAGAGGGCCATGGATCGCACAATCCCCATATACAACCTCCGGCAGGAGGCGTTTGGCCCCCCGAGGTTGGGAAGGAGCCGCTTGAGCGCGGCCCCAGACCGTTCCAACTTAGGAGCCAAACGACGAAAATGCTCCGTGAAGTTCCATCGGCTGTCGAGGACGAGACCCAGGTACTTCATACCATCGTACGACTCGACGCCGATGGTAACTTCTCCTGCCGTTATTTGGGACCCATCTGGAGGTGGCGCGTTCCGACGGCCATAGAAAGACATGGCCTCGGACTTGTGGAGCGCCACCTCGAGTCCCAACTGCCGGATCCTTGCAACGACTGTCGCAACCGCTTGTGACATCAGGTCGGCCGCCGCCTGATGCGACCTCCCGTTCGCCAGCACCAGCATGTTGTCAGCATAACAAACAATACTGACGCCGCTCGGGAGGTCGGTGCGTAGCACCCAATCGTACCCGATGTTCCACAGGAGAGGTCCCAGGACCGATCCCTGTGGAACACCGCGCGACACCTCTCGCCGATTCCACACGCCCCGGTGACCGGGGTAGATGACGCATCTGTCCGTCAAGTAAGCCTCGACTATACGACGGAGATAAGCAGGCACCCGGTGATACCGGAGTGCCTCCAGAATGCAGCTCCAGGGCAACGAGTTGAAGGCGTTGGCGATGTCCAGAGACACCGCCACGACGACTCGCCCCCTGGCCAACGCAGTCCCCGTCGTGAGGGGACCTCACGACGGGGACTGCGCATGATGGCGTCCACCGTGGAGCGCCCTCTGCGGAAGCCGAACTGACCGTCCAGTCCAGTAAATCCGGCCCCCTTCCAGACAGGTTCCCGACGAGGCGATCTGATATTATCCTCTCGAACAGCCTTTCCACCTCGTCGAGCAGCACAATAGGCCAGTACGCGGACGGAGAGTCCTCAGGACGCCCCGGCTTCTTCACGAGGACCAGTTTACCTGTCTTACACGACAGCGGAAACTGGCCCCTCTCCAAGCATGCGCTGAAAAGACCAATTAGTCGAGGCCTGAGAGCCTCCGAGGCCAGGACCCTAACCTTGGCATGCAGTCCGTCAGGTCCTGGGGCGGTATTCTTGCCGCTCAGCCGGCGCACCGCCACTCTCAAATCTACCTCGGTCACTTCCGGAGCGGAATTCTTCTTCCTACGATGGCATGCGTACGTGTATTTCACCTAAATAGGGCAACTAGGGTAGTGAAATGAAAAAATACGCCTATCAGTACACGTAGAATAAGTTTACAACATGACCAATAACATCATATGTTTTCGGCTAAAGGCAAAGCATTTTGTAAATATGAATTTCCTTATCTTATTTAAGGATCTGCTTTCGTGTTTATTTTGTGATCATAGGTAAATTATATATCACACTCAAATAATATGTAGATAACGCAGAGCCGGTCTGTGCGGGAGTCGAACCTGCAACACTTGATGAATATTGAAGTGAGTTGTAATGAGTATTAATTAAGTGGAGGTAAAATGAGTGAGCGTATGACCTCGTCGGCGCTGAGGAAGTGCACGGGCAGAAGCTTGCCGTCGGGGTCTGTGAGCGGCAGCGCGGCGGCGCGGTCGGGGCGCGCCAGCGGCACCAGCGCCGAGAAGTGGCCGCGCGTGTAGGCCAGGCTCAGCGGGGACTTGCTGCAGGCGTCCGCGTCGCACTGCAGCGGCAGGTACAGGCCGCGGAAGCGCGCGTAGCCCAGCGCCTCGCCGCGGAAGGAGTTGACGACGTCGACGCCGTAGACCAGGATGGGGCGGCGCAGCACGTGCGCCAGCGCCCACACGTGCAGCTGGTGCAGCGCCTGCCCCGGCCGCGCCGCCGCCGCCGCCAGCCGCGCCCACTCCGCGCGCAGCTGCGTCTCCGACGGCGCGTACTGCAGCCGCGCCGCCTGCGCGCAACCCTCTACTTCAACTCTATATTTGCATTGCCAACCTTTTCAGATTCAGCCCAATCCTTCAATATCCGACACCCTTGTCTCCAAAAGGTCAGTAACGCACTCGTACCTCCTTTAATGTTGCGAGTATCCATGAGCAGCGCCGATTGCTTACCAAGCCCATAGAATATGCTAAAATTAGTAGTCAGAACATCGAATTATAAAAAAAATTAGACAACCCATTGTACCTAATACAATCATTTATAAATTAAATTGAACATAAAATATGTTTTATCAAATAAACATCTCAATAAATGTATACAGGGTGTAAGGGACAGCCTTCCGCAAACTGATAGGGTGGATTCAGTATATCGTCTTAAGTTGACCGGTACATGAAATTATTTCAGGAACGTTATGGGAATCCAATTAAACCGATTTGTTTCATTACCTTACACGCAATGTATCGCTACCACCGCAAACGCACGCAGCGAACGGCAGCGCTTTTAGTATTATTACTTTACACTATGGGCAGCGCCGCGACCTTACCTTTCGGACAAACGGTCGCGCTCGCGCCACGTTTTAATAACAATAAATTATTATTTACAAGATAGCCGCATTACTTACAAAAGACAATTTAATAATCGCGCTCGCGCCACGTTTTAATAACAATAAATTATTATTTAAAAGATAGCCGCATTACTAACAAAAGAAAATCTAACAATCATAACATGGTAACTGATAAATGATAAAAAAAGAAAAATGCGTATGTACCTTAGAATCGCTCCGGTTTCCGGCTCTGGAAAGCATTTGTGATACGGTCTCGCATTTCGTACTCACTTGCACACGCACTCACAAACACTTTTTCTTTTACGTAACCCCACAAAAAGGGGTCCAAATGGGTTAGGTCTGGGGATCGTGCTGGCCACGGTTGCGGTCCAAACCTACCTAAACTACGTTTAAATAGGAAAGCACTGGTAAGTGGTAGCGTCTCGTTACGTTAGCGAACCAATTCCAAAATCCACGTAGGTATTGGTCTTCCGGCGCCTTTTTGTCTGGGAACAATGGGCTGGTTTTCTAGCAAGCGTTGATAGTCACCAGTAATTATCCTGGAGTCTGATGGATGCCGACGGTCAGGATACCTACACTACTACAACACATTATCATCTCCCCATAATCACGCGCGCTAAACGTACCTAGGTAGTAATTTCGCACAATTTCTACAACAAAACTTCACTACACTTCACACACTACATAACTAATAAAACTTAACAACACTACTTATAACAAAACTTTTAAGCCGAATGCGCGAGCGATCCGTGCCGACACACGCTCGCGGTACACAAACAATAACATCGCAGCAAGGCACAATGGCGACTGCATGTGATGAGACACACACAAACATAAATCTGTTGTTGCCAATTACACGAAAACTACAAAATTTCGGGGTAAAAAATAAAAAATTATGCATGGTCGTAATTTATCATTCTGTTATTTTTTGTAGAGAAATGAATTGATTAAATCAATTTAATTCTAATTTCATTGTTTAGTTAATTTAGAATAATAAAAGTGCAGTGTAATAGAAAGCTGTGCTTCCATTCCAGGGAGATTGTGTTTAATTTCTGGCTCGACTATCAATTTATGGCTATTGTGAAGCCATGTAAATCTGTAAGTAGTTTAAAAACTAGCCAGTAATCGCTTAAATAGAACAATCAATTAATAAATTAGCTAGTATTTGTAAATGCTTTAAAATTAAAACTAGTCTAATCTTTATTTATGTGCGCGACAAGATTTTCATTAATTGATTAATGAAAATCTCATCAATGTGATTATGAATGCAAAGGAGTTCTCAAGTTTTAGATAAATGTCGATAGTTCTAACATTTTCGTTTACAAAGGTAGAAAGGTAGAAGAGGTAACAAAAGTTAAAAGTTGGCAACACTGGTTCAATCGACAGAAAGGGACGCAGCTATTCTGTACGTTGGACGGGATCGTAGGTATACCTACGGCGGCGCGGCGATCGGCGCGGTGGGGCGCCGAGCCGCTGCGCCGTGACCGCGGTGCGGTGAGTTCAAACGACTCGCGCTAGGTAGAAATTGAACAGCTGATTTCATGCGTAGTTCTTTAGAGAATTCACACAACCATTGCGTATTTTTTTGTTTTAGCTGTGTTATTTACATTAATGTTATTCTTCATACATAGAATGTAATTATACATTGAAATAGAGGTGTAGGAACTGAAAAAACGAAAAAAAAATTGAAAATTTTCCTGAAAGAATTTTCACTGGAATATGATTCAGAATAAGGAGCTGAATGCACCCTGTTAATTTGTGGAGGGCTGTCCCTTACACCCTGTATAGGCAAGCTTGTTTGCCGTCCGATGATAAAAAAAGAGACCGTGTTATACACATGTATAACACGGTCTCTTTTCGTAAGTATCCACTTCTTCACATGAAGAAGTGGATACTTACGTGCCAAAGCTTGGCTCTCCCACATTTGACCCGCGTCCAACACGCCCAACTGAACGTATCCAAAGAATAGTACGGAGTACAGTACCTGCGCTCGCTCCCAGGCGGCCCAGCGCGCGTACAGGGCGCGTGCAGCGTGTAGTACGGAGTACAGTACCTGCGCTCGCTCCCAGGCGGCCCAGCGCGCGTACAGGGCGCGTGCAGCGTGTAGTACGGAGTACAGTACCTGCGCTCGCTCCCAGGCGGCCCAGCGCGCGTACAGGGCGCGTGCAGCGTGTAGTACGGAGTACAGTACCTGCGCTCGCTCCCAGGCGGCCCAGCGCGCGTACAGGGCGCGTGCAGCGTGTAGTACGGAGTACAGTACCTGCGCTCGCTCCCAGGCGGCCCAGCGCGCGTACAGGGCGCGTGCAGCGTGTAGTACGGAGTACAGTACCTGCGCTCGCTCCCAGGCGGCCCAGCGCGCGTACAGGGCGCGTGCAGCGTGTAGTACGGAGTACAGTACCTGCGCTCGCTCCCAGGCGGCCCAGCGCGCGTACAGGGCGCGTGCAGCGTGTAGTACGGAGTACAGTACCTGCGCTCGCTCCCAGGCGGCCCAGCGCGCGTACAGGGCGCGTGCAGCGTGTAGTACGGAGTACAGTACCTGCGCTCGCTCCCAGGCGGCCCAGCGCGCGTACAGGGCGCGTGCAGCGTGTAGTACGGAGTACAGTACCTGCGCTCGCTCCCAGGCGGCCCAGCGCGCGTACAGGGCGCGTGCAGCGTGTAGTACGGAGTACAGTACCTGCGCTCGCTCCCAGGCGGCCCAGCGCGCGTACAGGGCGCGTGCAGCGTGTAGTACGGAGTACAGTACCTGCGCTCGCTCCCAGGCGGCCCAGCGCGCGTACAGGGCGCGTGCAGCGTGTAGTACGGAGTACAGTACCTGCGCTCGCTCCCAGGCGGCCCAGCGCGCGTACAGGGCGCGTGCAGCGTGTAGTACGGAGTACAGTACCTGCGCTCGCTCCCAGGCGGCCCAGCGCGCGTAGAGGGCGCGTGCAGCGTGTAGTACGGAGTACAGTACCTGCGCTCGCTCCCAGGCGGCCCAGCGCGCGTACAGGGCGCGTGCAGCGTGTAGTACGGAGTACAGTACCTGCGCTCGCTCCCAGGCGGCCCAGCGCGCGTACAGGGCGCGTGCAACGTGTAGTACGGAGTACAGTACCTGCGCTCGCTCCCAGGCGGCCCAGCGCGCGTAGAGGGCGCGTGCAGCGTGTAGTACGGAGTACAGTACCTGCGCTCGCTCCCAGGCGGCCCAGCGCGCGTAGAGGGCGCGCTGCTGCAGGGCGTCGTGCAGGGCGGCGCGCAGCGTGTTGTGTCGGTCGGCGACGCCCCAGGCGGCCTGGCACAGCGCGTCGGGCAGGCAGTCGCCGGCCGAGCGGTTCCACAGCGCGTAGAGTCGCGAGCCGCGCCAGTTGAGCAGGGGGGGCCGCGCCGCCTCCAGCGTGCTCTGCGCCTCGCGGTCCAGCAGCTCGGAGAACAGCTGCTCCTGGATGGCGGGGGGCAGCTCCGAGATCTCGGCGGGCAGGTAGAACGTGCAGAACTCCCCGATGTAGCGCGCCGGGAACCCGCCCTTCTTGTAGCGCACCGAGCTCGCGATGTGGCGCCGGATGGCCGACGCTAGGTCGGGGGCTGCGACGCAAACACTTTTCTAGGTAATTATTGTACGATACGCTCTCCCCAGACATATATTATCCAAATTACAATAATGGAGTTATCAAACCGTTTCAAAATGAACGTACCTACACTAAAATTGAGCATACTACTCGGCAATATATTTGGAAATACTCTGCCTTATTGTGCGAGTAAGGGGAGCCTCACCGATATATGAAGGAGATCTCTTGAGGCCCGACCCGCCGCCTGATATTCGCGATAGTAGCGTCGACAGAATCTCTTGGCGTTGGAATCTGAAAAACCAATTTATTCTTAAGTATTACATTAGTTTTAGGCATAGGCGTTTTTGGTTTTGAATGCAAACTGATTTATCCGATTTCAGATTTCAAAATAAAAACTTCAAAAGAGAAAACAAGACGAGTAAAACATTTTTGTAATAGCGGGAAACAGTATAACTATGCGCGCGCATCGACCATAGATTTTTATGGACTACAAAATAAAGTTTCTTTTTTTGGGCTTTTCGCTGATAGCAATTCAGCGCAAGTGTAGGTAAGCGTAACTCTACCAATAAATTAAAAAAAGAACTCCATTACTCACTTTTGAATAATAGTAAAAGAAAAATTCACAGTTTGACAATAGGTGTTATTACCTGCCTAGTTGCCGTGGGATTACAGCCACTTTATGAGGAAATGTGTTGAAAATAATGTTGATACATATTATTAAGTATGCCAAAGAACATAAAATGTAAATTGAAGCAATATTAATAGAAATGTGTTAGCTTATGTAGAGCGTTAAAGTTTTTTGCGACATTAGAGTATAGGTATATTTGTAAAACCTGGTTTTATCCAACATCGATTTTGAGATAGATTCATGATAGCATAAGTTAAAACCTTGGTGGTTTTTGTTGGTATTCTAAGTAGATAATCCTGTATAAGTGAGAGTAAAGACGACAAAGATGTGTGGTACCTTATGGCGAGGTGTACGAGGGTGTGTCCCGCGTCGAATGCGGAGGCGCGGTCGAGCAGCGCCACCTCGTGCGGGGTGAGCGCGCGCGCCGGGTCCCCGCCCTGCGCCAGGTACGTCTCCACGCACCGCGCCTCGCCCTCCACCACGCCTGCAAGTAACGCTACCGGTTACCGGACGCCCGATCCTTTTGTTCTCCCCCAATTCCTAAAACCCCAAAAGGTCGGCAACGTACTCATGAGTCCTCCGTTGTTAAGGGTGTCCATGGGCGGCGGTGATTGCTTACCATCACATAATCTATGTGCTAGTTTAAACCAACATAAGAGGCAGTAATAATAATATGGGGTGCGAGTGCTAGAGCTGTACACTTAGTAAATATAAGTAATAAGCAATAAGAGTGTGTTGTGTAGTAGGTAGGTGAGTGTCTGACCGAGACAGGCCTGCAGCCAGACCCAGTCGGTGTTGTTCCGTCGCTTGGAGCGGCGCGCGCCAGCCTCCACCTCGAGGATGGACGCGCTCTGGCTGTTGCACGTGTCGATCATACCTGCACAAACAGGACTCTACATTACGAGGGGACTGGACCAGGAGGACGTACATACATTATACAAACATCAAACAACATTAATTAACTAAGGCAATCCTACCCGGATTGCGTTTAATACCTATTCAAGTTACCATGAGTTGCAAATGAAGATGTAATATCGAATCAACTATGTAATTAAACGATAACGTTTATACTGTTTATCGATGCTTCTATACGGTGACCGGATTGTATTCATGATAACGAACCACTTTCCTAAAGAAACTTATAACAAAGTTCGCGCGCCCGTCGTTTGTCGCCCGATCAGCTGTTAGCGACGAGGCCCCGTGCGACTGCGTTTGAACTATATAAATAAAACTATTAACGGGTATAGAGAAAGCTTTTTGGTAAAGTTGTTTGTTATGATGAGTACAATCACGTGTTTACATATCGGTCCTATAGAAATGTATAATAGTAGGAACACAAACAGATAACAATAACTCACCGAGCGCTGGATGCGTGGGGTGCGAAGCGTGCAGCGGGGGCGCGGCGGGCGCGGGCGGGGGCGCGGGGGGCGCAGGGGGCGCGGGGCTGGCGGGGGGCGCGGCCGGGTTGCTGGCGCCGCACATGGCGCACTTGAGGGCGCGCGGCCAGTTGTCGTACGTACACGTCTACACACACACGCACCTTGTAATGTCTCGCCACTGCTCTTCTACTAGCGCCGACCAACCATCACCAACTTACCGGACAGGGCCACTTGGCGACAGAGGATGCGCTGGCGCCCTGCGGGGAAGATATCCGCAACGGCTTCAGGCGCTCCGTCACTGCCTCCGCACCTGCACCAGACCGCCGGAATCACAGGGAGCCAACATTTCAGCTACAAGCTATTGCATTCTCAGTCTACAACAAAGGAACACTACCATCCTCTCCCACTGGAGCTGGCGGGTGGTCAACTATACGGTCCCCTATATAAAACACCAACAGCGATTTTACAGAGTTTTAATAATGCAGAGATCTTCTGCAGGACCAAAGGCTTTACTTGCTTTCAGAGTTGAAACACAGGTGTGAAATACCAGGTCTTCCGTAAGAAGGTGAATATGAAACAAATTGTCCTGATTGTTCCAGATAGAAGTAATTTTACCGCAGATATCTTGGGTGGGTAGAGCACTGGCGCCGTCTTGCAGTCTGAAGATATCCTCGTTGAGCACGGACTTGGGACTGCGGCACATTGTACACTGCAACATTACAAAGCATGCTGTGTACATATTTTCTTTTTTAAAATAAACGAATTTCAAAATTCTCAAAACATAAATTTATAGTGGCTTGGATAAAGTATTGTTTATTCTAAAAATGGATGTAACTTGTTTTAGTGGTCAAGCAAGACAGATATTGAATGTCTGATGGTATTTAACACGGCCAGCCGTGTGTATATAATACAGTTTATATTATAGATCAATAGTTCAGGTCAAACGTGAAACAATTTCTAGGTAAGAAATAATACGATTGTGAAAAAATGGAGTAGCCCTGACCCTCGCTGACGCAAGCATATGCCCGAAGTAGAAAGAAAATAAGTACAGTACTATGTTGCGATCACTCAGGCAAATTTAACAGTTGGTATGAACAGATGGAATGTTAAGGAATGTGTGGCAAATAAAAGTGAATTTAGAGTGACTAGCTGAAAATATAAATTGAAAAATGATGTTGATTGACCAATTGAAACAGTAATCATAAGATTGTTTGGCCATACTGAAAGGGTGGATGCTAAAATATTTATTTAGAAAAACTCTGCCTGCATAATAGGCGGCAGCATTACCATATGTATGTAAATGTGTATGGATATGGGTAAATGGAATGGCAATTATTGAGAAATGTATCATACAAAATTAGATTTTTTCCTCTGTTTTGGTAGAGAGAGAGAGAGAGAGAGATCTCCTTACAATAAATATAAATAAATAATACCTTTCGTGAGAGTGGAAAGTTTTCATAAGTGCACACATGACAGCACCACTTGGCACCCTCCGTGGCAGTAACAGAGCTAGCTGTCATCTGAAACAGATTGAGATTTTCTGATTATTTCCGTACATTTGTATATGTCCAATATTTTATAAAATTATAGCATACTATATCTGGAATAACGTAAATATTAAGTGTGGGAGAGCCAAGCTTCGGCACGAATGGGTCGGCTCAACCGGAGTGATACCAGGGCCTCGCAGAATACCGGCGTGAAACAACCACAACGTTGTGTTTCGCCGTGTGAGTGAGGTTACCGGAGGCCCAATCCCTCCCCTCCCCCATCCCTTCCCAATCCTTAAATATCCAAAACCCCTATCCCCCCCAAAAGGCCGGCAACGCACTCGTAACTCCTTTGGTGTTGCGGGTGTCCATGGGCGGCGCCAATTGCTTACCATCAGGTAATCCGTCTACTCGTTTGCAGACTCATACCATCAAAAAAAAATTTACGATGGTGTTTCTTGCTCGTACTTCTCCATTCGAATCTACAATTTGGAATGAGCACCAGCTTTACTGACGAATAGACTGACAGACTACTATTCTATTTTGACGTTTCAAAAGTGCCTATTTATGGTTTAATTAGAATAAATGATTTTGACTTTGACTTTGGATAAAATATCAATTATTTTTTGTTAATATACAGTTTCTTTTTTTGTAATTTTATGCACAACCAAAATTGTACATAAGGCAGACTTAATGACTTAACACAATGGGCATTCTCTTCCAGTCTAAATTTAAGCTTTAACAGAAATATAGTTATTCAAGTAATGTTTTATTTAAGTTTTGGTAGACTCTGTTGTGCATTTCCCACAAACAGATATCTCTGAGAATGTTGTAGTCCAGTCCTGTTGTAGATATTTAACAATTTATTGTTATTGTAAAAACGTGATAGACAATCCTCGACATCCAGATCTTATGGTACACTTGAGTGCCATTTAATGACAATGTTAACACCAAATTTGGTTTTATTGTTACATGCGGGTTTTTACATATGCACAGTCCTGTAAATCAAAACTGAAATGGCACTCTTCCTAGATTAATTAATTGAGAAGAATTTATTTATGTTATTTTAATAAAGTAAAATAATAAAAAAATAAACTTTTTTTTGAAGTAGGTAGTGACTGTTTGTTTTGCTTGTCCCTTTTTACAACAATATTCGTACTTTTAACAATTACTATTTTAGTCAAATTTAGAGACGTGAAAAAAAAACAAGTGGTACTGTTTCATCCCTTTTGGTAATATATCTTCTTATATATAAAAATGGATCGCAAAATGTGTTGGTAAGCACATAACTCAACAATGCCTGGACCAAATTCGCTAATTCTTTTTTTGTTGTGTTTGTTATTGTCAGGAGAAGGTTCTTATGAAAGAAAATTTTAGAAAAGTAGAGGGGAGATTTGGGTAATAGGGACTCTTTCATCGTAAGCGAGATGATGAGACCCGTGTGAAGCAGGGGCGAGCCGCTAGTCATATATACTATAGAGACAACCAAGTTCTACTGAGCAAATTTACAATATTATTGTATTTGAAAACTACTGAGACAGTAAATAATTTTAACAAAAAATTACAACTGCTCACTAAACATAAGCAATGATTATTAAACTTACTCTAAACTTAATAAATAGAAAAGTAGCTACATCAGTTTGTTAATCATTGTTTACTATTATTATTGTTGCCAATATATGTTAGCCAAGATAAAGTTTCATATATTTTAAGTATAATAGATTTAGCCTAACAGCATATCAGTAAATTTCATAAAATATGGAAAGAAACAAAAACTTAGTTTGTAAAATATTGCTGCACAGTCAAATTGGTGGTTGGTTTGGTGGAGTAATTAATGTTTACTTATGTTAACAGACCTGACTTGATACTTAGCAAAAAACATTTATCTATTTCTATGTATTAATTTTTTTTTATTCAATCTTATGTCAATTAAACAAAAAATTCGTTAGACTTGAAGAATAACTTTGTGAACCAATAAAAAGGATTCAGTAGAGCAATGAAAAGGCCATACATGAACCATGCATTAGTTAATTACATAAACTTAAGTTAAGGACTTATAAGACTGAATAAAGTGTTCCCCTAAAAGTTCATATTTGTTCCTCACACTCATAATAACAAATGGGTTATTGAATCTCCACAGGCATACACCATTAGACAGTTCCAGCCCTCCAAGAATGCAAATACAGAGTGAGTGCATAATTACAGTAAGGAGTGAGAGCTGCGAGAGGATGAATCACCTGGCTGATTGTAGTCTGTGAGATGTTGGTGGACGCATCGAGTGTGGCGCACTCTGCCCCCGACGCGTCCGACTCCTCGAGCGACGCGCTATTTCTGCTCCCGTCATCCTGCACCTCCTCACTCATCTTACCATCAATTATAACATTGAGAATTATTCTTCTGGTGCTACACTTTACATTTAATTACTATGAGGTTCTCATCGTACGAGATTCTTAAGTATCTTCTAGGCTTCTATTTATAAAGATGTGCTGTTTGGACTATAGTTTCTTACAGTGCCTGTACGCAATTTCTTGTGACCTAAAAAATAAACGTACACCATGAACCAAAACGAATGTCCGCATACGTTAAATAATAAGTGAACATAGAGTGATAGGTAAATATTTTCACCACAAGAATGTTTTATTGGTATAAATGACAGATCGAGACACAACATACCATACGTGTATGAGAAACTTATTTATTCTAGGTTCGAGGTTGTTGTTTTAAAACTTGGCATCGTTCTTCCTAGACTTTTGGCGTCGTTACACAACATAAAACATCGAGAGTCGGATGGCATAAGGTCAAGACTACTAGAACCGATACATTTTACTCACTCACTCTGTGCTGACGATGTGACGATCAACAGAACTTAGAACTGTCCTACTCGAAAATATACTAAACTATGGATAAAACAAACCCGGGAAGACAGATGAAAACATAAAAGAAACAATGGAGATAGAGGCAATTATGTTTATACGGTATTTTGACAAATTTTGTGTCAAGTCAATTTTGGTGTCATTATGTGAAACGAGAAGGCTAGCTCAGAATTGTTGTCAAAATTGTACAACCACAAAGGGTTTACTGGTATTTTATTGGTTAATATTAAATTTCATGTATGAATGTATATTTCCAACCAATTGTAAAATGTATAGTTTTCTATTCAGCCAATAAAAATAAACAAATCTATTTATTCAAAATGGCTACACTAGGTGAAGAGAGAGACGTGTCTATGACTACCCATTCCGTTTCACGGAAAAAATATACAGGCACGACTGTATAGGTAAGAGTAGGTAAATTCTAATAAAATGAAATAAATTGATTCATGGACCTCTGTGTTTCGAATGACAAAAAATGATGTCATGTACATGACAAATTTTAGTACACCTGTTTTCCGCATATTTAGAAAATAATTGTAGTAGTTCAAGTTTGAATCTGTTACAATGATTTAGTTGAAATTAAAAAATTTGTTTATAAATTCGAATGAATTTTAGACGCATTTTGTCGAAAAGTTCTTTAAAGTCTTCGTCATCTTCGGAAAAGAGTCAACCGGAGGAAGTCATAAAATTACAAAGTGAAATTGAATTACTAAAGCAAACAATCGATTCCTTGAAAGTCTCAATAGAAAGTAGGGATGCGGCCATAGGTACTTTAGCACGTGAAAAAGAGAAAATGTATGTGGAACTCAAAAGTGCACAAAGAACAAACAGGAATTTACATCAACAGCTTGTAGATGAAAGGTGAATGAAAATGAAATATTTATTTAAATACACTCATTATGTTTAAATATTATTTAAAAATGATAATCACGCAGCTTAATAATAACAAAATCCTAATGGTTGCCTTATACATAAGGTTTTGCATGACGGTTATAACCATTCATGCAAAGCTGTGCAAACAGCTAAGTGAGTAAGCAGTTTAACATATACGACGGTCTTTCTCTTTCTCTCTCTTTCTCAATTAATTTAATATGTCTCACAAGTTAAGTAAGAAAGAAGAAGAAGTTGGGTGTCTAAGTACTTTTATTTATTTAGACTCCATTAAATTATGAATAATCAATACATATTAATTTTACAAAAATGCATTAGTTTTCATATTGACAATAGTTGTGGTAATTGTAGCGACATACATTCTAAGGAAAAGGATTTTCTCATAAATGAGATTAATAGGTTGACTAAGAGGAACGAAAATGAAACGAATGATCAAGAAAATGGAGATGTAAGTTTTAAATATCTTTTCTTAAAACATTTGAAACTTTATTTAATTAACAGGATATTACCTATGAGTATCTGTGAAGAATTTCCTACGAAACGAGCTTATTCAATGTTGCAAGGTAAAGTTGGGTAAATTGCTAAAAAAATTAATAAAGGGGTCGCCGTTTTTCGATTTTCCGTTTTACTGCTGTAAAATATATTTCACAGCCACAAAAAGAAAGTTGTGACTTGAAACTGGTAGTTTTCTCAGTTAATTCACGTGAGTAAGCCGTTACTTTCAATAAACAAAAAGAGATTAACGAAATCGGTGCTGCTATTTCTAAGATTTGCGGCAATATTCGATATTTTTTATTTTATAATTTAGCGTTCCGCCCCTGTTTGGCAGATTTGCTTCGTCAGCGAACCGCCAAGGTCTCAAAACAAGACTACTTTTCAAACATTTTCTTTCATAAAAATTGTTCTGATAACAAACTCAACAAAAAATTTGCGACATCGGCATGGCTTTGAAAAAAAATTGATTCGCTAAATGTGTTTGATATTGTATTTTTAGTGATTCATTTTTACTTACATTATAATAAAGTTGAGCTGATAAATGCCTTAACATTGATGTGTTTGAATATATGCAGCGATTCGAAGATCAAGTGAAGGGAGCGTTAAGTGACGAGTTAAAAGCTAAAGATGAAGTAATTTATAACATTGGTGCTAAGTATTTAAAAATCAAATCAAGCAAAATACTTTTCCAAAAAAAATTTGAAAAATTACAGGCTCAAAACAAGAAGGTAACTATTTGATTGTACCTACTATGAAACTAGACGCGAGACGCGAGAATTAATTAATTATTCCCAAAATTGGAATCTAACTACGGTCCCTTTAGTTGCTTGTCTCTATCAATCTATTCGTGGTCGGCGACCGTCGTATGATTCCGAGGTTAATTTAAGAGCGATTTTTAAAAAGTTATCTTTATTAAGACTTTTAATTTGACTTATCTTTGTGATCAGTACCTACCTAGTAAACTAACTAGGTACCAAAAGCGTCGACGGCTACTATACTTATGGTCTAACTATTCTTTACTTTTATCTTACAGACATGTGAAAATATTATATTATTGCTACAAGAAAATAGAAAGACTCTGGATAATCTTTTAGATAAGTTACTCAAATCATCGTCAATCTCTCCGAATAGTCGAAAGTATTTGAAACTGTTGCAAATCAATGCTAGCTTGCATTACGAAAACACTCAATTAAAAATATATTTATCATCTAACCAAGATCGTACCAAGAATGTAACACAGGAACCCTCTGACAAATACCGTCCGATTACTAAACAAACTACTTCTGGAACCAAGTCGGAGGAGAAAATGAACCGTCTTTCCATAAATTCAACGATGAAATTGTTAAACGCTCATGAATTTGAAGGTCTTAAGAGTTTCAAGTATATTCACAGATCTTTTTCGCCAAATGTTCGAGGTACGATTTATAGGTCAGTTTCAGATTCATGCATCGTGAGGTCGACTATAAGAGAATTATGCTAGTATTATATTTGAAATGGGTAAATGATGTGTTTTATTTCAATGGTTAAACGATATTGTAAAATATAGGAACTGCAACAACATGGCCGAACAAGGTGCAGCTGTACCTATTTTTTTTATTGATCCATCAACCGACTTGGTTCTTTCTTCTCCGCCCTCTGTTAAGGCTGATGATAATTGAATAATTTTTTTTCGCACTTTTTTATTACGGTCATGATTTTCTTTACTCTTGCATGCCCTTGTAGGCTTGTACCTAAGTCCTGAGTGCTCCACCTGTGGTATGAAACAGAGACTACATTTTAAAATAATAAATATACAAAAACAGTCTTTCTAATTTTTCTTTAACCCCAATTGCTCAATAGCAATCTTGAATATTACGCCCAATCAGTCAATCATAATGCTTATATTCTAAATACACGACATGATATGACACTCCACGACACGTTAAGCTATAAGTACCATAACACGCCACGCTACGGTCACCGAGGTATTTCTGCTTCTGTTATTCTATTTCACAATAGTTATATTAGGGATCTACCCAAAATATTTCCTCTGGACTTCAGGAGTTTATTGCTTTGGGACTAATCAACGCTTACTTCTACTATTACACTTTACTACAAATGAGAGTCGGACTGATGTAATCATGTCGTTTGAAACAAACAACTAAATTGAAATGTCGGGTAAGCAAGTAGCTAAGTATGTTGTTATAAAATATTATAGAGAATTATGATAAAATGATTGTTTTATGTTCATACTCGTGTTGAAAAAAATCTGGAACGCTGCATTCATTGTCTATGAACTGTTTGTTAGGTGGTGTTACCATACTACGGTATTTTTCCATTTTTCAGGGAAATCGAGACACATTATCAAATGCAGCTATTTTTCAAGTACTACTTATCAAATATAGTTTAACTGTTTCAATACTTTTATTTCGGAAGTATGCGACCAAAAGATTAGAAAAATTATTACAATAACTTAATTTGACTATTATTACAAAAATGTTTTTATCATACATGCTAATGATTTTAGGTATCATCATACAAGAGAACGAGAAAAATTTAGTTTCTCAACATGGGAAGAATGTAGACAATACGCCAATTATTGAAAATGAATCATGTGGACACACATTAACGTTGTATTTAGAAATTCATAATAGTTCTTTTTTATTAGGAAAGAACGTCTAAAAAGAATGAATCTTTTATCAACTCAAGCCAGTTTTATGTAGCATTAACATAATTAAATTATAGTACTTATTCTTATACTCTTGAAAATATTACATTTTTACTTGGAATATTTTCATTACCTGGAACATATAATTTTCATCAAGGCAATTTAAATTTGTAAATCCTTATATCTTTATAAAGTTTAATAGTAGTTGGAGTATGACGGGGAGTTTTTAAATTTTGGTGGAAAAGGTCAATGTTCCATTCATGTGGAAACCAGTGTTATTAGTTGGTAACACTGATCTCCAGATTTGTGTGCGCCGGCATCGCACGTGAACGTGTCGCAAAATCTCAAAAAATTAGTGAAATCACCATGTCGGACGAATATTTTTATGGTAAGTGTGAATACTTATATCAGTAAGCATACAAATAGAGTTTTATTTGCTGCGATTAAACAGTACTTCATATAGTAATATTGAAAGAAATCCTAGCGTCCACTTTGACACCCGGCTCTCGCCATTTTATTTCACAATATTAAGTAGATGTGTTATTCTTATCGCTTTTTGAAATAAAATCTTGGTCTTTCATTAAATTTTATGAATCTCTGTGTTCAAAATAATTGTTATCGTGTGTTAATCCAGCTTACCGCCATTTTTTTGTATCTCTTAAAATGGCTAATTTCGATTTACCTAGTAATGGCGTTTCTGTGCTTTGAGTTATACTTCGTCCCACGCAATACATAAGTAGTGGCTATTGATTATTAGTGAACACCAGCCTAAATATGTGTAGCTAGGTATTGGGCGCGCATTTTGAATGTGTGGCGTCCGATCCCAGAGCCATGCCGTTGAGAAGCCCAGCCTTACGTTTGCGAAGTTAACTATAACGGCTGCGAGTACGAAAATGTCGTAAGCCTCGTTGTTGTTTATGCCGGCTTAGGTACGCAGCGGTGTCAATGTTGAGGTTATGATGACAAAATTAACACGAGTTGATGTGTGGCGCATTGCACGTTTCCTTTTTAGTATTGGTGGAGTGAAATAAGTTACCTAATTTTTTTATGCCTCCGTTTCAGGTGTAACACTATCGGCGTCACATCAGTCGGAGACATGGGACCCAGAGGCCAAGGCTGATTACCCTCGTAGCAACAAGCTGCTTATACGTCAAGCACTCTTGGGCCCAGACGCTAAGCCAGATGAACTTAATGTTGTTGAGGTACTGTTTATCAAGCACTGTATACATGATGACACTGATATAACTTACTAAGCTATTCTCTATGTGCTGCTTAATTGTGGTGTAATTGCAAAAATAGAACATTTTTGGAACTTGAAATGTAAATTTAGTAAATCCACTTGATTACAACATGTGTCCAGAGAAGAAACAATGTCGTGATATTTCCACTAACAACTTCATATTTGTCCAGGTGGAAACAATGTCGCTTCAAGAGTCTGTCAAGATCCCAGTAGCAGTGCTGAAAGTTGGAGAGGCAAGGCATGCACGTTTGGATATTGAATTCCCAGATGCCCCAGTCACTTTCACTCTTATACAGGTAAGCATGTTTTTAATATGATACTTAAGAATTATATAGAATCTAAAATTGTTTTAACATTTTATTTTATGAATTTGATATGATGATAAAATCTTTACCATTGGTAATTGATGGGCGCGCGACGTCGTTTTGACTGTTGCACCGTCTCTTTATGATAGCTTGAGGCATTTGTCTGATCATAAAATCGAATATAACCAGTGCGACATATGAAGAACACATAGCAAGTACTGAAGGCTTTTTGTTGTGCAGGGATCAGGGCCAGTGCATTTGATTGGCCAGCACCTACTTGGTGCCCTTGTGGAAGAGTTTGAAGACATGGAGGAAATGGAAGAAGAAATGTTGGATGAAGAGGAAGGGGATGATTCTCAATTCAAGGTATGTTTCATTATATTTTAAGCTAAGAACTAACAATAGATATCATAATTATATTTACCAGATAGACAAATATTTACTTTTGTTTAAAATCACAGTTATTTGTTAGTTTGGTGAATTTACAGGAAGATGAGAATAAAAGGAAAGCATCAGCAGGAAAGCGCAAGACCAATGAGGTACTGAAAACCTTCAACTAATATCCAATTAATGGGTTCTATTTATGCTCTACAGAGGGAAAAGGACCTGTGACTTAGTTATGACAGTTAAACTTGTTTATCAATGAATTCACAAATATCAAAATTTTTGCTATAAAAATTATATATATATACATTTTACTGTCATTATTATGATGATTCTGTGTAAATTGGCTGTTGGTTTTCTGTATTCTCATTAATAAATTCTTGACCTTTACCTTCTGGTAGCCGAGGGAAATTAAATATAATAGCAAGAAAGGCCAACTCATATCACAAAAATTGGAAGCTTGTTTCTAAACTAAATCATTAATTTGTCAGATTTTGGGAGTGTGGCCATTATTGCTTCTTTACAAAATTGTTATTATTATTTTACAACAACTGTTTTCATAATATATATTATTTAAGAATTATGACAACAATAAACTTGACTGCAATTAGGAACAAGCATTGTGTTCATACAAATGTACGGGTTGATAATATGATGGAAGGTTGGGATAGTTTTCTGTGGTGGAATTCCTAAAGTACCTACTTGTCTTTTATACTCATATATCTTAAGTAGAAGTTTTAACTGTGATACCACATAATATGTCTATAACTACCTTGCTCGACCCTTATTATGTAAAACACTTTAAAGAAACTTTATTATAGTTGTTTAATGAAACAATTTTCTTCTGTTTCTACTAATGTGCATACTGCATACACTTTTTGACACACAAATAAACGATTTAGTGCAATTTGAGCTTAAATATTGTTCATGTTTGCTTATCAAAAAGGCATGTTGTTGTTTGTATTTCAATGATTTATGTGTGCTATGCATTATATCTGCCATTATATCTGAAGTCCCATAGATTAATTTTTGAAAGTTTGCATGTTACATTTTTAAACACTAATTGACTTGCATTATCTAAACAATAGACCTGGTATCATGTTATCAAGCCTTTTATTGAGTTCCATAAATTGCTCTTAAATGTTCAAAACATTTTATGTCAATGATCTTTCGATTTTGGGTTTTCTGAAATATAGTCATTTGTGTTTCGACGTATGCCAAATGTATTGAAAAGCACACAACTTTTTTCTAAATTTTATTTTGATTTTCGTTAAAGTAAATATAATTCTTGATTTTCAGGATGAGGATGATGAAGAAGGTGAGCCCAAAGGTAAAAAAGCGAAAATGTCAAACAATGCTAAAGGCAAGGCTCCATCGCCCAAGAAGAACGCCAAGAAGTGAACCGCCTGCCGCGCCCGCCCCGTTGGCTTGCGCCCGTTCGCTCTTTGATGCGCCGCACGCACCCGAAATTCGTCAAACAGACCAATTCCATTAAAGACTGACTACAACCTCGATCATTTAATTTTAGGTATATCGTACCTAGTGTAATTATAAAAATATTTTGGATTACTTGAGTAGTACAGGCCAGTTGTAGGCAGTGCGGCATGACATGAGCTGAGCGGGCGCAGCTGGCGGCCAGCGTATCTCTTAGTTGTACGTCATAGTGTGGTAATTCAGTCTAGGTTAGCATTGTATCGACTTGAGCGTGTCTGGATGAGTGGAAGTGTGAGTATTTGTACGTGATAGTTATTTACTGGTCGAGGTATCTGCAAACTAATCGATCCGATCCTGCGTGGTTACCGACGATCGAATGTGATTTCTTCACTATTTTTTTTTTAATTTTTCTAATCTAAATTTTCATTCCTTACTGTGGTATAGTGTTATGGATGTCAAATTTAATATTAAAGTAAGTCTTAAATTCACAGATGTATTTTTAAGTTAAGACATTAAGCATAATCAGTGTACTTTTAAGACATTGATCATTTTGTATGAAGTAGCTACCGGTCGACATGTAATTAAATTTGCTAACGATTTCTCATTTCAGAATGAAAACTGATAAGCTATTATAGTTTGTTTGTACATATACATTATAAAAGCGTAAGACGGTAACAATAAATAAAAAGCATTTCTAAACATTTACACTCTTTTTATTTTATTACTTATCTATTCCATATATATATTCCATGTTACCAGTTACTAGCATGTTCATTCAATGTCTTTGCAGCAATGCCAGTAATATTTTATTTCGTTCTCGTTGTATATTATTTGACTCTTCTACAGCTTGCAACAAACTTTCAAACTTGTCATTATCTTTCTTGTCCTGCACTTCTTGCATTACTCTTTTTATTTCCGTTAAAGTCATATTGTTAATTGAAGAGCTGTTAGTACTCAATATATTTTCTGTATCTGAATGACAGTCAAATATTTTTTCAAAATAGGAATAGTATGGCCAATTATTTACCTTTCCAGTTTCTTTCCTTTTCTCGGCTAGTCTTATGTAAGTTTGTTTCAAATTACGAAACTTTCTATCACATTCTTCAGAAGACAACCCTATCCTTGAAGCCAATAATCTCCATACATTTTTCTTTTTTACAAGTGGGTTCCTGAATTTTTCTTTGTTGTCTATATAAAAAGTTAAGAGTTGCTTCACATAGTCATCTTCTTGCAATCTGTAAGTAAGTTTAGGGAGCCCTCCATCGTTATAACTTACAGGTCCACTATATATTGATTCAAAATCTTTGTAATAACGCCATTTTGTAATACATCTCCCAGTGTTTGCTCTCATTTTTAATCTTATGTATGTTTGTTTCAAATTGCGGAACTTTTTGTCGCAGTCAGTGGGTCGCTCTCCCACTGAAGCTGATATCTCCCTCCATAACTCTTTTTTTTGATATCTTGGATTTTTGAATTTATCGGCTATTTGCTTGTACTCTTCAATCAATAATCTCGTTTTACTTTTATCCCATGGACCAATACTTGGACTATAATTGTAAAATATTCTTTCAAAGTAGTTGTGATATTGCCATTTAATTGGTTTCCCAGTTTCTCTACTTCTGTCTTTCCAGTTAAAATATGCTCTTTTTAAATTTTTAAACTTATGATAGCAACTGTATTCTGTTGTCCCTAACTGAGAGGCTATCTCTCGCCAAACATCTTTTTGTACAGAATCTGGATTTCTGAATTTGTTCAAATTCTCAATATAGAGACTTAGCAACCTTCTGACTTTATGGTCCTCCCAGGGTTCTAATACAGAAGGTGGAAGCAATTTGCAGTCCTTAAATACCTCTTCACATGCCCCATAATGTACCCACTTGATTTCTTTACCTAATCTTTTCTTTTTCAATAGTCTTATGTAAGTTCTTCTTAGGTTTCTATATTTTTTATTACATTCATCAGAACTGGCACCCAATTGCACACTTATTTCATCCCAAAGAGATTTGTCTTTTGTCAAATTTCTGAACCTGTTTTCTAAACATAATGTTAATAATTGTTTTATTTTATTCCTATCCCAAAAGTTATCATCCTCTTTGTTCTGCGGCTCTTGCTTTTCATTATTTACAGCAATGTGTTCTTGAATAGATCCTTCACTAATTTGTATGTATTGCCTATTATCACTGGTATCCACAACATATCTAGCCTCCTGCCCTGTAACTGATGTAAAAATATAGTGTATCATACATACTGCATAGTTATTAACACATGCACTCGAGCACACTATTGTTAGGTAATATTAGTTTTACTGTTCTTGCTAAATAAAATAAAGTTTTGTAAGCTGGGGTTTCAAGTAAAATCACTACATGCTATAAAGTCTCTTTCAATATTACTTGTGGGTGGAAATATTAAATAATTGTGTTACCTATGTTTTAAGTGGCCAAAACAAAATTTCTACAAATTTTGATTGCCCAACTCTGTTCATAAAGAAGCATAAGTGGAATAGGTCGAGAAGAATACAAATTACTATGGGAGTGTCGGTATTACAGTGGCAATCAGGGCCTCTGACTTATATAAATTTAGAACTGAGGCAATAGCCTAAGAACTTGCATATCATAATTAGTCACGTTATAACGGACATCTTTAGCGATATCCATTAACTAAAGAATGAAGTAATGGAAAAATAAGTGTAACTTACTCTGTGGGTTTTGTATAGTGAAGTTATTACTACTAAAAATAACATTACTCTGATCTTCCCTAAGGACAAACCAATAACTTTGGTTGTGAGAGTGGCTAATATCCATTGCTAAGTTTAAATGGAATCAGACAAGCTTAATGTTGATGAAACAAGTGTTCACTATATTACTCTACTCTTTGCAAGTGTTATATTATACATTTTGCTTTGAACAGTCCATAAAAACAATTAATTCTGAATTTGAGTTTTCTATCACGACCATAGACAAGCAAGATGACAAGACATGACGAACGGACGGAACGTCAATAAGAATAGTTAAAATTGTGAAACCGAATACAAACACGAAAAAAGAATATTATCAGAAATTTAGAACATAATTATTATCAATAAATAATACAGGCTTTGTAATACTTACAAACTGTAAATACCTGACTATTTGTATACTAGCTGAATAACAGATTTTCTTTCTTCATATACAACTCCCGACAAAGTGAAGTGTGGTGTAACTGTAAGTTTTTCCGCACGAATACAATAAAGTCACAGACATAATTTACATATAATAAGTCTTTGCGTTTGTAAATAAGCTATGAGTTTAAGAAATATTTATTTTGAGTATTAAACTACCTATAGAAAATCAAAATCCATAGAGAAAACCTACCAGCAACCATAGACGCATTCCTTAAAAACCAAACCGAAACCGAAACTGGCAACTCTTGTGTTATGAATGGACGCCATTATTTCAATTTTTAAGTTTACTGTTCTTACGGACTGTTTCAATGTGCTATGAAGGCGATTGTGTAGTTTTTATTAGTATTTTATCATCGTGATAGTTATTATTGTCACCCGAGCATAATTCGAAGTTGTTTATTTATTGTCTTAGCTATCTACAGATTATGTGTTTAAATTTTGAATACTTTATGAATTAAAAGTTTGACGTGAGTACAACTTTATTTTTCACGACCTGTCAGCATCGCTAATAACAATTGCTAAAGTGCTTTGTTATATTTTCACCTCGATATTAGGCATCCGATTGAGAAGAAAATGTATTTAGATTTTAGGATACCTATTCCGAATGAGAACTGAATTGAATATTAAGTTTTACGGTTAGGTTTCCGGAATCAGTGATGCTTTGGCGGGAAACTGCATTGGCGGTCTATTTTATATAAATTAACGAGTGATATTTATTTTCATAACTCCAAATAATATCTGCAAAATTATTTGGTTGTCAATTTCATAACGAATCAAAATTTGCGTTTATAGAAAAGTTTATTGCATTAATTAAACTTTTACCAACTAAGTTCTATTATGGTGATAATTGGAATAAATTGTTACGCATCGCAAAGCTTAATGTTTACATTCGCCTAGTGAAGTGGGCTACTGTTGTTGGCCTCAACAACACTGGATTATTAAGAAAAAAGTAATTAATAACATGTTTAATGTTATAGAGTGATGTCAGGGGGACAACTTGTGGTGTTGGACCGGGCTGGGCGCGATGTGAAGCGTTTCCCCTTGCTGGAGGGGCTGGCCACCCTGGGCAGTGACCCAGCCTGTGACATCCGTATCATGCTGCCCACTGTCAGCCCTCACCATGCTACTGTAGTTGTTCATGCTAACCAGGTAACATCCTCTAGTGTAATTGTTTCTCATTTTGAGGACTGCCAACTTCTTGATTGCCTCTAATTTGAAAGGAACTTTATTGAGTTGTGATAAAATGTATCTTTAAAGCAAGCTCATAACTTGTTCCATATTATAAGTATCAGGGCTTTTAACAAAGGGCTTAAATAACAAGAAATTCAAATTTAAAATAACATGAAGTATGGGAACACATTAGGGATACTGGTATATTTGGTAGCTCTACTCTGTAACATAGTAATAACAATATTTACATTAATCAGACTTTGCCAAACCATATTCTTACCAGTATTTCAAGTCCTGTCAATGAGTTTGACTTTTTTTAAATCTCTTGTTTTGCTCTATATACTATTCAATATTCCAGAACTTGTTTAAAGTCATGAGTATTTAATTTAGTTAATATAAATAACAATGTACTACACAATATTATCATAAAAGGGGTCTAGGTAAACTGTTTCTGATTTGTTAGAGATGACAAAGCGGAGGAGTTGTAGACACAACTCCTCACACTCCACACTGTAGCAATAAAGTAGAGGCTATGAATAAGGAAATATCTTATTTATTTTATTTGCATTTGACGTGGTGTGGTACGTAGGTGTAACATTGCTTCTGTTTGGAGGGATGAGCAAACAGGGTTTTAAAATTCGTCATTCTCCACTGAAAAGGGAGGATCCTCTGACCTGATGAGGTTTTGCGTCTAGTGGGTTAGGTTAGGTTACTGCCCAATGGTTGTTGTCAGGATTTGGTACTTGTTGTAATTATGTCGAGAGCTGTTGTACTGCAATGATAAAATCTAATGTGATTGGTGCTGTTGCTGAGTGTTGTGCGCCTGTAGTCTGTACAGAGCCGTTTATTAGTAATTTATATAATTATAATACCTAGGTATAATAGCTGCTTTTACAAGGTAATGTAGTAGGCGTGGTATGTGTGTGCAGACCGTGATCCGCAACGTGTGCGACGATGTGACGCTGGTGAACGGCGAGCCCGTCAGCGTGGCCGCGCTGCGACACCGGGACCTCGTCGCCATCGGCGGCCGCCAGCTGCGCTGGGAGTACGCGCAGCCCGCGCGGAAGCTGCCGCAGCCCGGTACCATTCACTCCTACTACTGCTAATTTACTATCTTGCACATAACATACACACCCTTGTTACCTAATTTGCAATGTTTTCATATTAGTCAGGGTGGTTTTACATAAGCACTACACAAATGAAAATTATTTTATCCTTGTGAATCTGTAAAAATGTAACTGACA